TAAATTACAGTACATCAAAATCACGAGATAAACCGACGCAAACAAGTAGAACAAAAACGTCGGAAAACGAACCCTAAATCGCGAAATGGAATCGTCCAAATTTTTGATCAGTATCTTGAACCACTCGTCGTCAACGCGAAGAGATTTTAATCCCCAACCACGCGTTGTAGACGGGTATACGCGTTGCTTTATTTTGCGAGGCTCCCTAACACAAAATTGTTTTTTCGGTTCACATGAAAAAAGATGCGATATAGTTTTTGGATAGCTGACGTATTCTTCTTCAGCAGGCCACACTAAGCATTTAGGGACCAGAACTGCGGTGAAAAACATTTGACTGTTGTACAGAGCGGTTACCACCCATATAGCGATGCATATTTTTATCGTTGATTTCTTTGTAGTTGTTAGAGACCTCATTGGTTTACAAATGCAGAAGTATCGGTCGAAGCTTACGGCTATCATGATAAAACACGAGGACAACATGCTTGAGCTTCGAGTGAATAGCAAGAGCTTCGATAATCTTAAGCCTACACCTGATGAGTCGGCTTGCAGTGAACTGGTAGAGTACTGGAGCCAGCCACGTATATTTTCTGACAGGAGGTAGATTATGTCTGAAACAGCAAGAGCTAGTAAATACATATTTGGTGATGATCGAAGCTTCTTTTCTTTTAAGATCAGAACTATTATAAAAATGTTACCAATAACACCGATAACAACAACAATTGGCAGGAAACAAAAAAGAAATAAACGATCAAGTCTGGAATACAAGAAGTAGTTTATTCCGTATTCCGTTACACGAGTACACACGACAAAGTCAGTTTCATTGTGTAACCAGTTAGACACTCCTTGATCAGAAGTCGTTGAATTCGAAAGTTTATCCATCTAAAACAGAAAAGTGAAACAATATGTGTTAACTTTAGTTAAATTACTAAAATACTATATAACAGAAATCCATTTAACTAAGTGTAAATAAAAATCTACAGTTTATAATTACAAATGTCCGAGTTATTCTAATAGACCTGCCAATTGGAGCCCGAAAAATTGTAAGGGTAAAAAAAAAATAACTGGGAACTTTTATTTAAAACCACCACACCTTTTGGTCTTAATATTGGAACGTCTTCCAGTAAAGTAAATTAATTAAATGGAAAATTTAATGTATAAATCATTTGGCTTATTCATAGAGATCCAGCGGTTGTTTTTCACAGAATTGTTGTTTGTATGTATAATATGTATAGATTATATAAACAAATAGATAAATAATAACAACAATATATCATCATATATCTATTGGACTGTTGTTATTTGTTTATAATAACTGTGTTTACGGTGCTACGAAGCAAACCCAATTTGACATTTATGTTATTATACACATAGTATTGTTCCTAATCGTTTGTGTTGACTTTTCACTTTATACCATCTGGCCTTTTTATTGTTGTCCGAATGCCCTGGTTCTATTACTGGCTTTATATTTATGTTACCTTTTAGCTGTTGCTTATCCAATTTGTATATTACTGGCTTTATATTTATGTTACCTTTTAGCTGTTGCTTATCCAATTTGTATTTGTCTACCGATATTCAAATAATAAAACAGAAAATAATGATGCGGAAACGTTGAGTTAGACAGTAGAACAAATTATAATTTATTCAGGAAACGAATATTTCGTCTTGTCCTCAAGACTTCATCAGCGTAACTGATTACAAAAGTTGGCAAATACCAGATCCAATGTAAAACAATAAACAGTCGGTAATAAATAAAGGAGGGTGATTAAATGAGATAAACAATATGTCCCCATGTCTCCAATATTGTTTACATATTAAACATAACCACGAAGCAAGGTGAATTAAAGAATTTTGTTAAGTTTACCCTAATAATTGTATTAACATTATTAGAAAGGCAGTTTTTTACACTGTCACAGATTCCTTGATTTACACAATTATGGCTATTTAAATAAATAAACGCCCTGTCGTTGATTCTACAATCAACGGTTTAGGTTTGGTAGAGGGCGCCAAAATCACCCAACGCAGACAGTAAAAATACCCAAACAACCATATACTATCACGGTAAACTTTATTGAGTCTCTCTGTAGTCTGGTAACTAAGCATAAAAAATAGAGTATGATCAAATCAGTCAAGTAATATGGAATAGTAAAACAATACAATGATATGAAGCAATGCATTCCAGTAATTATAAAATCTATAGTCAGCCATTATAAGAACGCAACAAATCAAATGGCATAAACAAACATACAGATATCGTAATGTATGTAACGTCATAGATTAAATTAGATTCCTTAATGTTCAATCTCAGTACAGTATGATGTATGCTTACAAAACTTAGGCAAATAATTAACTACACATAGAATAGTATCGGTTCATGCACAGTGAACACTTACGAGAACTACGGCGCAACTATCCAATACAAACTGATCGGCAAACATCAGGACCAAAATCTAGTGCACATCAAAGTAGTACTGTACACCATCTAGCATATAAATAAATATCATTGATAATACACTTATATACTTATATCATAATCGACATAGTAACAGTAATAGTTTCTCAGAATTATATTATCACGTAGCAGTAACTACGGATAGCAAGTACAATTACAATCGCTAAAGAAATGACCATATAACCATACTAAATCAAACTTCAGTAGGCTTATAATATAAACGTGTCATAATAAAGAAGCTAGATAACAATCATGTAATATAAATCATAACAATATATAATTGTATACTGTAATAATAATCAATGCTAACGAAACGCTTATGCAATCTCGATGGGATATGACCGGTTGAGCCGCCGACAAGTTGAGCCGCCGGTAATTTCTATGGAACGCCAAGTGCGTCTCTCAGTGAATGTAGTCGGCTTGCCGATGTCATCAGTGAACGAACCCACGGATACCAGCTACATATTCATCCCACAGTCTTGTCAGTCGTTGATTTGCTCGTATTGCCGTTCGTGATGTATAATTGTTTAATTGAAAATTAGAATTTTGATAGTTTTATGTACTACATTTTTATAAAAATATATGAAGTTGTATAATTGCAAAATCGTATTAAAAATGTAATTTTATGTACTACATTTTTATAAAAATAATTGAAGTTGTATAATTGCAAAACCGTATTTAAAATGTGTTTATTTACGTTTGGTTTGCGGCGTATTTCAATTAACTTATTCGTTATTTGTACTATTTTGTTAAATTATTTAATTAAATTATTTATTATATATAAGTTTAACAAATAGTACAAAAATAAAAATATATAAATTATAAAACCATAGTAAATACTGTATAATAACATAGGACTAACACATTTAAATTGATTGTTTATAGTCATGCAAAATCGTATTAAAAATGTAATAACTTGATTATTTTTTACGTTTGGTTTGCGGCGTATTTCAATTAACGTATTCGTTATTTGTACTATTTTGTTAAATTATTTAATTAAATTATTTATTATATATAAGTTTAACAAATAGTACAAAAATAAAAAGTATATAAATTACAAAACCATAGTAAATACTGTATAATAACATAGGCCTAACACATTTAAATATATTATTTGACTTGATTATTTTTTACGTTTGGTTTGCGGCGTATTTCAATTAACTTATTCGTTATTTGTACTATTTTGTTAAATTATTTAATTAAATTATATTTATTATATATCATTATATATAATAAATGATAAGAATGTATGGAGTTTGTTTTTTTTACTATCTGGCAAACCGACTGAATTAGACTGACTATAAACAATAAATATTTAATAAATCAGTGCAAAAACCGAGTATTAAATAAATTGAAATAACTGAGTAAATAAACTGAAATACATCCCAAACAACAATAACAAGAACGAATAAATTAATTGAAATACCTGTCTCTTATACACATCTAGATGTGTATAAGAGACAGGTATCCATCAAAGATGCCCATTGTGCA